CGCTGTCTTCAATACACTTCACGATCGTGAGTGAAGCATTCTTCGTTCAGAAATCCTGTTGGAAAATTAGAAAACATTGACAAAAAATTTAACAATTCTTTGTTAGTGTGCTTGCTATGGTGGTCATTATCAGTGTAAAGCTATTGCTAACATTCACGATTCCATTCTGCAGAAGCTGTCGTTCCGGGCGCTGGGGCATTCGAAATAGCCGCGCATTGCATGTTGAACAAATTAGCGGATTCGGTGAAGGGTCGTGTGAAACTTGGTGTGAAGGTAGTGATTTTGTTGTTGTTTTATCATTTCAATATCAGAGTTGTGATTATGATTATGATATGATATTAGGCGTATGCTGATGCATTATTGGTGATTCCAAAGACTTTGGCTATGAACGCGGGTTTTGATGCGCAAGAGACGATTGTGAAGCTGACTGAAGAGAGAATGGCGAGCGGTGGGAAGATACCCGTTGGACTGGATATCACCTCGGGTGAGCCGACGAACCCAGTGGTGAGTTTTATTATTATTTGTGGTTGTTATATTGCTGTAATGTTCTTATTTGAAGGGAATATGGGACAATGTGATCGTGAAACGTAACAGTCTATCGTCATGCTGCGTGATTGCGTGCAATTTACTTCTGGTAGATGAGGTTATGCGTGCTGGAATGACGAATCTGAGGACAGGACAGTGATTGATTTATTGATTGATCAGTCTATCGACTGATCTGTTCGAGCGGTATTGAATGTATTTCGATCAATATTACATGATGTTATCATTTGATATCCGTCTTAAGATTTCCTTAAAATATTAAATCTCATTTGTTGAGGTCATTGTTGTTGCTGTTGTTGTGGCTGTTATACGAAAACGTTGCTTTGCACACTCTGAATAAATTGCTTTCTATTCGCTTTTTTTGTATAAGTTATATGGTTTGATATCGTAATAATTATAGTAATTTTTTTGAGTAGTCATTATATTCTTCCCTCTTAAGTTGATCATGTTAAACTTTAAGTATGTTATTTGCTCTGCTGTCTGATTTCTGGATCCCAGTTGAAAATTTGAAATCTTAATTTGCGATTGTTTTGTTCCATTTCGTCTCGGAAAACATGTTTGCTTTAAGTTTTAAGTTTTACGTACTCTCACAATCATTTCTCCAGTCTTATCATTTCTTTTTGAGTAAGAGAGGAATGAGACTTTTAATTGATGATTACTTGTCAGTCCGTTTCAAAAAGTTTTAATGTTTTCGTTACTTGGTTCAGCTTTTATGACTGCAGTTAGCTGGTGCCGTTAGTGAGCAATTTTTGGTTTAGCTATTATTATGAGGGATTGTTTTGGGAAATGCTCTATGGAAAGATATTATTTTCATGAAAGAAGACAAACTCTTTTAGAAGACCTATCGTCCGAACTACCTATCCTATTGACTTGATGAAGTTCTTGCAGAATTATATTTTGAAGTTCCCAATCCGTTCTTCACTATCGATGAGTTTTTGCTGCAGTTGCTCGATATAATGATTGACAAATGATTATCATTATTATCTGATTGAATACGCTATCGAACTGCATTTTATCGTTACAATTGTTATTCTTCATTGTTTAGTTGTTAATTATAACGATTGTTTTGATAATAAATGTTTACTTTTGTTCTTTGTTCTGTTCTTCACATCACATTTTCACAGTTAAATGCATGTAGGTCAAATCAAATCAAAGTCTTCAGAGAAATGAAATATGCTGAAATGATCACTGAGTATTTGTCACTTCCCGAGATCTTCCAAATAAAACAAGTAAGAAGGCAATACTAAATATGCTGATGTGTTACGATAAATTTAATCTGCATATATCACTAAAAACCTT